AGACTGTGTAAGCAAACTTTGGGTTGCTTCGGTTTTAGGGGAATAAAGCCCAATGTATGGAAACACAGATTGCATATTCCAAAGGTGAATACATAACTTTTCGAGCATTTTGAATAAGACATCAAGCGACGAATGACAAGGTGCTAGCTTCACTGCCATACCCTCAAATGTCGCTAACTAGTCAAATACTAGTTTGTTTTTACTTTCTGAAATATGGGAGACACCTATGCTAGATCATTGTTGTGTGCAGTCCTGGCCACGTCATTCTTTGGCTATCATGGGCGTGGCTTCCTTCAACCTGCATAATGAATCTCAGGCAGGGATTGTAGCACTAGACAAAGACTGGTATGTGTAATACGTCTTTTGGTGAGCCAACTCTACTTGTCCGCATTCTGTTTGACATGACATTTCCGTCGGATACACTCCTAAATGAAGGACCACTTTCTCAGGCGTTGCTGATCTGATGGCTTCTGTATGCATCGAACATAAACATTGTCAGTTGGTAATCTTTGGTCCACTGATATGCTTCCTAAGCGTATAACTTATCTATATCTCAAAGTTAAATCATAACTGATTTTACGTACACGTAATTCGGAAGAAATGTCAACATCAAAACAAACTTTGTCGAAATCAAAGTAAATTTAGTCCAGCGCAGGCCACCCGAGCGTTAGATAGGCATGAGCAAAACTCAGTTAGGGATGACAGGTGAAATACGATAGATGAAGCAAGCTACCATCTACAGTCAACTCCCTACCGTCTGGCTTTATAGCCGCGGTATTCAGCAAACAACTTCGCAGCAGCACTTTGCACCTGAAGGTCAAAAGTGATAATCAAGCATGTCACAGAAATTGCCAACTCGTGAACTGTGCTTTGGTCATTCACCATACACTCAAGGAGAAGTACTACGTCGTCCGCGTACACGGGATCGAACATTGATCTGGAACAATAGATCGGGCCATAACGGGGCGCATCAACTGATTCATGAATGTGTGGCTTGGTTAAGTACCACATAGTCGACTTGTCGCTTATATTACCAAAAATAATCCACACATCAGAAAACCGGACACAATCATTATTATAAACAAAAATTTAATCATTATGAGTAAGGAGTTTCCTTCTGTTAGCCCTAACCGGCAAAGGACACAATTTTCACCCCGGAGATTGTGTCCACAAACAACGCCTTACATTTATCATTCGCTGTGTGTTATAGGATAGTCCTCTGAGTGGTATTATCCTTTTTCCTAAAAATTGTATCATTGAAAATTCAGTAGATAACGAAGTAAAAAGAAAAATAAATCCCAAGAGCAACAAGAAGTATACATTATATCAAACAAAACCTTCGGTCCATACATCGCTGCACTTAATTATTGTGGGTTAATACTTACTATTGAGGAAATTAGCCTGTCTTAACCACAACGAATGAAAACCAACGAAATTTTAGCTGACCACAAGTTGCATGCAGTTCTGACCTTTCACCTATGAAATTTGGTAAATTAGAGGAATAAAGTGGAAATGGACAATAAAAGGAAACATTGGATGAAATTCGCCTCAATTAATAAAAAAGGCCTTCCAAGAGGGTCGAAGCGTTGTCACCAACGCCTTCGTGTTTTGGTTTTCATTCGTTGTGGCTAAGACAAAGTAATTTCCTCAATAATCATAAGCACGACGTCCACGTTTTTCAGTGAGATCCGTTCCGTCAATGGATCTCATGTTAGTAATAATACTCACTATGTTTTAACCGTCGACAACAAAATTTACGCGACAGCTTCGTCCCTCTTAGCATTCAGTTCAATCTTCCTTGTTGGGACTCGAGCAGATTGAAAGAAGGATACGAAGATTTAGCATGTTACAAGTTTGCCTTGTACTTGTTGGGAAACATTTGTGATCCATGAATCTGGTGCGAAAGAATTTGCTTTTATAGACCAACCAGAGATCGGTTTCGTTAAGTTGGTTAACTTTCTCTTGACGTTTTCTTTTGGTCATGTATATAGATTACGCTCAATATTCTGAGGAGTAAATTTGATCTATGATAGATTTGATCCACCTGGATGAGGTGACGGCTTCGCTTAATTCCTTGAGCAATCTCTCCAATACAAGAATGTACATTATGGTTGAGAATCATCAACCACGCATATCCAGCGAATTGCAAATTTATGCGTCTCCCAAGTTGCCACAAATCCCTCTGCGGATTAGCTTCTTTTATCGAACGTAAAATAAAATAGAGTATTGAGAGATAAATCCCATGTTAAAAAAGAACAAAAATTGGGAGCCAAGGAGCATTCCGTCGGACCCATTTAATTGATTCTGTGTTTAGAGAGTGAACGATTATAAGTGTTTGGAAGACAGAGTAGGGAAGCGTTCCATTAGATTTTAATAGATAAGCATATCCGGTGACTGAAATCTGCTAAAGATGTCTGCTTGCTTGTGGTGAGGAAAAGTCATAGGAATGAGGACTACTGAAGTAAACTCCGAAGAACATAAAGCAAAATATATAGTAACAGTGAAGGAGAAACAGCGAGGCGACTGCCAGACAATAGGGTAGTAAATGCAGATTGGAAGTTAGTGAAAGGTCGTTAATTAGCCTCGCAGTCTTCCGCTGAACATTTCTAAAGAAGGGAATGAGAGCGAATGGTCTAAGGTGAAGAACCGTCCGGTGTATAACGGAAAACATTCTTGGATGCAGTACAACAACCAAGTGGATAAGAAAGACCACACCAGTATAAATATGAAGTTTAATCAAACCAGATTGATCGACAACCGTCTGTCAAATAACTTGGCGTTATTTTCAACCGTAAGCTCAACAGTTCTGATCCCCTGTTATCTTTCCTGCCTCCTTCAAAAAGTACCGCAAAATCATTCTCCAATCCCAAAGGTTCTGTCGTTATGTAGTTCTATACCACGGGAACATTTAGTACAGGAAGTGGTGACACACCAACTTAAGTCTTGTAAAATTTCCTCCAACAAGATTTTATCCGATATTTCCCAGCCCGTTTATTCTAATCTTAGCCAGTGCCTTTCATACTCATCCATGCGTTCCAGTTGTACACCTATTAAGGCACGTACTGAAGCTTGAAGGCCCTCTTTTGTAGCACATTTCATCTGATTTCTTACAAACCACGAACTCTGCAGAAAATCTGCGCACAATGCTAGACTAAATCAATAATTGACACCCTGGTATGCCATTAGTTTTGTTTTTGCTCAATATCCACTCTTCCAGGTGTATACAGTGATTCCTTCAATTGCCTTGACTTGAAGAACTCTTCAATCACATCAGCTGACAATCAAGATGATAAAGTCGAGCTTTGGTGATCTGTAGGCTGCGATTGATTGATTAAAAAAGGTGCACACTGAACATTTAGATGAAAAAGAGGACTAGAATATATAGTCGGGGACTCAAAGGTGCTTGGTGTTCGATGTGGATGAAATTAGGATTTCGGTCAAAAATAGCGAGACAGCAATGAAGACGGTTAGACAATTTGGTTTGCGGAATCCATGTTGCTCTCTGGTCCCTGAATGTCGGTGAGAGTGATGAGTTCATGCTTGTTTTTCCAATGAGATTAGAGAAAACCGGAACTTACGATTCTGAAACCTGCAGTAGCGAATCACAAATGTCTCATCGTCATACATGTGGTAGTGAGTCCGGAGACGACAAAGGCCTCCCCCTACTAACAGGCAGCATTCGTTTAAGTACCATCTATTAGTTTCTTTTCATTGAAAATTATTAGCAATTACAAGTTGGAATTGGAATTCACTACCAACGATGTCTAAGGTGATTTTGGGACACGTATAAAATAGGAGCATAGAGCGACTAATACACTCTGCATTAGTTATTCAATATCTTCAATGAAAATTCTTTACCGAGATAAGATCCACTGGATGTTTGTCGCATTATACCAGTGATGAAAACTGTTGAGATTTTTCAAACTCTCCAGTACTTTGATTCATGTGTTAATAAAAATTACTGGAGGTTAAAAGAAAAAATATTGTAGATACTAGAACTTTGTTGTTAGTCTCATATGTTCTATCGAAATGGGAAAACATAAATCCTCCAATTTCACGTTCTTTAAAAATTCGTGCTGGCAATAAAGACTTCATAGCAGGTCTAATAAGAATCCATCGATTTATTTTTTATCAAACGGAACCCAAATCTGGATTTTTTGTTTTCATGTATTTAAAAGCTCGTCAAACTGTAGAATTCGTTCACTCATACATTTAATAAAAGCTAAAACACTAGAAACCTTGGTTGTTATGCACCTTTTATCCCTCCCGTCACACTAAGAGTGAGCAGGATGCAGAACGTAATTTAGAATATGCTTACACTGCATTGCCCGAGTAATTGTTCAATCAAGAGCGCGTTTTGCTTTGTCCCCTTTAACCAGGTTATCGTGGAAGTGCGTGTCGTATTTTTGAAAATCGGTGAAATCGATACGTTGAAGGAAATCTATCACGCGGATGCGTTTATCCAATTCAAATGGAGAGAACCGCGTTTGGATGGAAAATCAGAAGAGGTGAGTTAGGAAGCAGAAACTAGTAAATGATACTTAGAACACGTTTATCTCTCTAAATTGGAAACACTAGTTAAATTACTACATTCATAGGATTTTTCGGTAATCGCACTATTCGCTATCAGAACTTCATTCCAGTTTTCTGGTGTAAGTGTCAACTCCTTGCGTGGAATGCAAAACAGTGTTTTAAAAATCACCTATCCAGTCTGCACTAATGATTTTCCATGAGACATTATCAGCGTACATCTTAAGGTAGCACAAGAATTCATGTTCACTGGTTGGTTAATTGCAAACTATGACTTTCTAATTTGCAGTTCTCATCATGACAAGCGAGTGTAAATAGCAACTACGTTCATCTATGGACCACAATTCAAAATGTATCCAGTCCATTTTCCAACCACTGATCAGTTCAGATAGCACCATAAACACATCGATTTTCACTGAACAAATCAATACCGTTTCCAATCCCCAATCCAGAATCACCAGTTGTCTGGTCAAAGTCACCCAAACATGTAAACAATGTACAAAATAGTGAAAATATCGAATGGGTATCTATTGATCTAAATGTGTTTTATTCCAAATATTTGAGTTTCAGAAACAGCTGCTTTCAGTATGAAAATCTATTCTTATAATTAGTACACTAGTCTGATAAACGTTCCAGTCCTGTTTTTTTGGCATTCCAGCACTGGTGTTCAGGATGTTTCATGTATATTTCAACTGTTAAAATCAATTGCAACTATGCTTTGTAGGGACGGAGAGAGAGAAGAATCAGCAAATCCTTCAGAACACCCACTTTTCGAAAAGTGAAGGGTGTATCATTGAGGTCGGTGTTTGTGCTGTCGGTGGCCGGCCCCGTCCTCTTCTTGCTGGTTCCTTTATTGAATGTTGTATTCAACTCCTCAGCAACTATTGCTGTTCGAGACACGATTTAGGATTGACCACTCAATTGCTTGATTGTGTTCCAAGTCTCTCGGAATATATTGTTTTAGGTGACCACAACAGACTGAAGGATTAGGTTGGTAGAGCACATTGAAGTCTGTCTGAGAGTCCTTTACACCGAGCTTCCTTTGGTTGTCAGGGTTAGATTGACGTTTCGTTCTTTTGGTGTCACGTGTTGGCGTGAACATTTTATGCTTGAATATGTTGTAAACGGTTGGGTAACTTTAACAAAGACATCGTCGGACGACCCAAAACAGGAGTGACAAGATAAGGGAAAAGGCTGTTATTACAGACAACACGCATGTTTAAATGACAACTTAGCTGTGTTTGAAAACTCACTATGGCTGTCAAATCAAGGACAGTCAAGAAGCTGGTGCCAACAGGGTTGAAGTCACCACAAATAATACAAGCGACAGATCATTATTGCTACGGGAAAAACGTCTGGAGAATTTAGATGTTCCTCTAAGAGACAATAAGGAGAACTATAACTTTTGGCTAAGAATATATACTCAGGTACCTTAGCTTGTAGTCAAATCGGTGTTCAGTGAAACCGTCGATTTTAGGTATCCCCTCGTTCACGTCAATATATAACCAGGTCTCTTGTATCAGACACACGCCTTACATAGAATATTCCATACAATCAACAAGATCAGATATATGTGGTAATTTTCCAGTCAGTGAACGAATGTTGCTGCTGATAACGACGGGTATACATTAGTGACCAATCTCGTTGATGCAGATGTTTCCTCCACGGTCCACTAAATTTTCCGTAGATCTCCTAATAATTTTTTCTCACTGATTTTCTAACTTCACTCACCTTCGGGGATAAATTACAGTGTTTTAAGTCTCCTATGAAGTCATTTTGGAATTTCACGAACACCATCGTTATAGCAACTTGAACAAACTTGTACAACTTGTACAAACTAAGGAAATGTCAATGAAGTTCTGTCAAACGTCGAAAGGAGAAAAAAATAGCGCAAGAAACTTTGGAGATCCTTTCAATCATTTCCTCCTTGACATCATCCGAAAATTCCTCTTTGCTTATAATAATATTTTAAATACATTTATCCACCACAATGTTTGCCCTGTCAAGACTGAAGTGCGAAACATTCAAGCGTCTCTGTCTCACACAGCTTTCCCTACCGTCTGTATTTCTTGCTATCCATTTGGTATCCTTCTCACTCAACGAATGATATCGAGCGAACTTCGATTGAATGATTACCTCTATCCTCAACTTGATTGCAAACAGCAAACATTTTTCGTTCCTGTTATCCGTCATAATCTTCGGGGAAGCATCATTTATTTATTAATTAGTTTGATGTAGATAGGAATGCGATTTTCATTGTCCTATATGAATTTCACATTCAATTTACGGTCTTCTATTCTTTGCACACTCGTTTCTTTCCATTGATGTAATTTCAGTAACTGAACCATTTTTGAAACGTGTACAGAAAATCATCAGAATCTGGTGATGCGATTGCTTCAATGAGAAAAAGGTGATTCACCCACTTTGATAAACCTCGAAAGCCTCTTTGTATTGTATTGTATTGTGTATAACTTTGCTAGCAATGGAGCTCACATTTCAGTTAAAAAATCATACACCCTAACCGTTACAATGTACATAATCAACGGGGAGAAAAGTTTTACAGGCATGAGGACATTTCAAAATTCAAGGTTAAGACACCATTCACTTATTGTCTTTGTTTATGAGTAGACGAGCAAGATACGATATGGGTGAATCTCGGTATGCGTTAATTTGAGATGAAATTTGGCGGAATCTGGAGAATGTTGAATGATGGGAACGACAAAGTGTCAGTTCTCTATTCAATGGGTAGTCAGGATCTGTGAGAATCCTCTCAGCAAAATTCACACAGGAAGTTACGTGATACTCTGAAAGCTTCACAGCTAATTCATTCACAAGAATAGAAGAGACACGACTAATAATGGTTAGACCGCGGCGTAAGACTTAGAAATCCTGTTTGAGTAAACCAGGAAAAATAACTGAGAAACATCAGAATAAGATGGAGAAAACACACTGGTTGTATTATCTTGTATTGTAATAACTTCTGCAAGCATTAAACCCAAATTCCAGTCAAAAAAATACAGAGCTTGGAGCAAGGGAGAAAATGAAAATAACATTGAAAGAAGAGATTTAGGTTCCAAAACTGTTAACAAATTCCGTAAAAATCTGTTCTTTGTTAACAAGAATACGTGGTAATGAGGGTACTTTGGAGTTACGATAAATGTTTATTCTAGAGAGAACACAATGATATTTTGATAAACAAAGGTAGAAATAACTGACCGGGATGCACAAAAGTGCCTGATCTTTCGTATTTGAAATAAAAGGCGCCGCAATTTACTAATGCAGTTGTGGATGTGGGTTGACCAATGAAGATTGCTATTTATGGTTACACCAAGATATTTGACAGAGTTCACCCTGGATAACGGATTGTTAGTATTCACTGTGGGATCTGTCGGATATGAGGAGCAAGCAAAACTATAAAAACACTCAACACATTTACTGGGGTTCAGGGTTAGCCCCGAGGAGGAAGAGAATGATTGAATTTGATAAAGATTATGGATGAAAGAACTTAGATCAGAGTAAGAAGTAATGGGTTGGCACAACACGACATCATCTGCATATTTCAAAATTCTTGCGGGAGAAACACAGGGAATATCACAAATATAAGTGACAAATCAGTATGGGGATAGCACAGCACCTTGAAGGACCCCGGAGTTGTTGACTAAGGGTTCAGATGAAGACTTCTCAACCTAGTGGTTTGTACCCTATCGGTAAAATAGTTGGATAGCCAAGCTAGCAACTGCTTGTGGCATTCAAACGATTCCAGTTTTTGTAACAGCTTCGATCGAGGTATGAAATCAAATGCAGAAGAGAAGTCCAGAAAAGCACCTAACAGAATTAACAGGGCTGTTCAAAGATTTAGTGATGAAATGAACGAGGGCGTCTAAGGCTGAGCTATTAGGCTTGTAGGCAAACTTTAACGGATCACTGGGAATGTTTACAGAGGGCGTTTGAGGATGGCCTTTTCAGTCGATAGAAGAGCTGAAGATGTTAATGCTATGGGACAAAAATGTTTGGACAGAATAGAAGATTTGGAATTGTTTAGGATTGATATGATTGTGACCGGTCTCCAACAGTCGGATATAGTATAAGTGTGAAGAGATTCATTTACAATGGAGGTAATTGCCCCAGCTAGGGAAGCAGCACCAAATTTGAAGAGTGCTGAATGTAAGTCATCTGGGCCTGCAACAGAAGACGAATCGCAACTTTTTAAAAGTTTTAACACATCACAATATGAGAATGGTTTCACTTTACAAACATTTTGCGATGAGTAGACAGGAAGAATATCCAATGACTGGTGCAGGAATGCGGCATTGAGATCATCAGTATCCACATCCAACTTCGACCGTATTTTCTTCCTTCCACAGAGAAGTCTTATACCTTGCCACAGGTGTTTGCTGTTTCCAGTCCTCAGAATTCGATCAGAAAATCATGCGCTCAATCAATTTACTTCAATTTTGATAAGCTTGAACAAACACCTAACAGCTGAAGTATTGTAAGACTTGTACGCACATTCCTTTTGTTGTCGCCATGATATTAATAGGGAAGAGTTTATCCTTCCGTTGGACACATAGAGACTTTGAACAGGACAGCAATAATTAAAAATGGCATTGAGTGTTTGGTTGAATAAGGAAACTTATGTGAGCAGAGAAGAAGATGAAGAAAACCATAGGGAAGCCTGCCTCAGAGATTCATTGAGGAGAGAAACACGTGTAAGTGAGAAGTTACGAATACGAAATCTGATGTGCTCAGATCGGGAGAAAGATTTTATGCACTGTGTGAATAAACCGTAGGTCAAAATAAGAGTAAGCAATGGTAACTGGAAGAGATAGGAGCTTTTAATGCTTAATAAAAAAGGTTAGGTGGTTGGTAATTACTCTGTCCAGTATAGAGTTACCTCTTGTGGGAGAATGACAGAGATCTGTCATACCCAGTGATAAAATTGGATAAGTGCTATTATGGTTAAAGCCACCAACGACTATGTGCAGGTTAACATCTAAAAGTGGGACAATGAAAGGTATGAATGAGTCGAAAAATGACACACGATCGGACTGTATATAAGTTAGTCAAAATTGTGTGAGTAAAGCGGGAAAATCTAGGGTGACACTGTATAATTAGGCACTCAATACCTTTTGAGCAGTACTAATAAACAACATGGGACTTGCCACATCAAGAAACATTGACATATGTGGCAACACTCTCTCCGGTCTTTTTTCTTTCAGTTCCACGATCCCGCTGGTAAACTTGAAAACCGTCTATTGACACTAGAGAGTCATCTACATCCTTACTCAACCAGGATTCTTGATTGGAGGACACTAGTTAAACCCGACATTTTGGGAAACAGGGACCAAGTGTTGGTGCTGACCAATGAGGGGACAGTCATTTTTGACAGAGAGGTGCAATTAAGGGTAACTTGCGATCCTGCACGCTCGCGTTCTTTGGTCCAGCCTGGACAGTGAGAAAATGGAGTCGCACAAACCGCTGAACAATCAAAGCATGTCCTGGTACATTTGAAACAAATAATATCATCCCGTGAGTAACGACGGCGCATGATAGTGAGTGAAAAGGTGAAAATTCCCACAATGTGACGGAGAGCTTGTAAGTGTAACGCAGCCAATCGAAGCGCGCGCGCTGTGGATTAACTCCATTTACTCAAATTCCTTTATATGAATCAGGGATGAATACGGAACACACGAAACAGTCTATTTTACCACGCGGTCTATTCAGATTTTTGGTCTTGTGTTGACTCAGTTATTATTATATCCCACAGTAGAGGGTTCTTTTTAATTTGGACCGGTATGAATGGCAAATTTGAGAACTAATGAAAGGAACAGTAATCACTTGCCTTTGGTCGTAAGCAGCAATAATTAATTAGCTTTGGTCTGCCAATCTAATTAACTGTGTTACATCCGAGTGAATTCTCCCACTTCTTTTCTTGAAAATAGAACCATCTGTTCTTTTTGTTTGTCAAAGGCATGCTAATTTGAGAATTGTGTTATATACTGCGAGCGTGCAAAAGGATTATTTATTTATATGACGACCACTCAAAGGGTATTTAAAATTACTATCCAGCTTTGCAACCTTTAAGG